GGGCCGGGAAACAGTGGCCCTGGGAGGCTCGGTGAGCCGCAGCAGTGCAGGGGGGTGAGCCGCTGGTGGAGGCGGGAGAGCAGACGTTCGTTTCCACAAGGGGGCGGGGGGTAGCCTCGAGCAGGGCCAGCCCTCGAGGATGCTGCATCCTCAGCCTACGCAGTATTCTTCTGCAAGGAGAGCCTCATGGGAATGATGATGAAGGGGCCGAAGTGAGGAAAGAAGATTTGGAAAAGGGCGGTGCTGTTAGCTGGACAGGGCGGGGCAGGAGCTGCCAGTGATGCACTGCTGTTAGAATCCAGGCGTGTCCCCGTCCTCTGCCCTCCTCCCTCTCACCCCTGAACCCCGGGCTCATTCACAATTGTAAGGGGGTCGGAGGGGGTATTTCTCTTCCTGAGAAAGACTTTTTAGTCTCCGAAGTAAGATTTTTCAGAGCTGATCTTTGTGGGAGTTTGCCACGTGAAGCGTGGACCTAACTGTTGTCTTCGTTTTTCCTCCTTTCGTTGTCCTCACCCCACTGAAACCCCTCCTGGGCACTTGTTCTGCCCTGGGCATCGGAAGGGCGTGGTCAGTGTGTTCCTGCTCCAGAGGCTCCACAATTGAGACACTGAAGTGACTAGTAGACCCCTTAAAGAAGAAACGTTTCACAGTTTTACCGTGGCTTCGTTCTTACGGTCGGAATAAAACCCCTATGTTGGTCCGCTCCAGGGATGAGAGGGAGCGTGCAGTTTGCTGTGTCAGAGGAGACGGTACATGTCTGTTAACACAGTACCTCCAAAGCCTCCTGTGAAATATTGTTAAGTTTGATGGCATTAAAACAAAGTTGTGTGTCAAAAATCTGTATAAAGCAAATTCGAAAGAGAACCATATTAGCAACAGCTGTGACAAAGGGCCCATGCACCTTGTATAGAAAGGATTGTATGGATCCGTAAGGAAAAAAGCAAACAGCCTCAAATAGCTCACATAAGTTAATGTGAAATTAAATGAGTAGCATATGAAAATGAATGGTTAACAGTAAATACTCCATAAATAACAGCCACTCTTCTCAAAACATCAGGGGAATAACAGCAATGTGTTAACGCATTAGAAGCTGCTGTGGGTGACAGTTGCCACCTAAAGCTGCCTGAATGGGAAGGTGACCGCCGCCAGCCCATGCGAGTACCGGACAGAGCAGCCCATGACAATCAGCTTTTAGAGGATAGATGCTGGTGTAGAGAAAAGCAGGTAGTAAGGTGGGGAAGACAGTGTTTGGGCACCATTCAGAGAAAAGTAGTGGAGACAGGCTTCTCAAGGCATGCCCTGGTGGAGGTTAGGTTAGAGGGGTGTTTCTTTAGAATCCCAGTTCCTTTGCAACCTGACACCTTCTCTGGGTTCAGCCTGAATCCATGCCTGTTTCTCTGTCTCCCCTTCCTTATCTGAGGCTCCTACCTTCTCCGACACACACACGGAAAATGCTGGGGACCTCAACTCCTGACCCCTGCCATCCATGTTCACACTTCAATGAGACCACAGTCTAGGTCTTTATACTCAAATTGCTGCACAGGTGGATACAGTTCTTGGCAGAAAACACAAAACTGGATATCCTGGATCCTTGCTTTATGACCCGATCTGTCTCTTAAAGTAGTATTCCATTTGATTCCTTTGTTTTAGGGAACACTTGCCAGTTTCTCAGTCTGTCCGTTAATCCCTACAACGGGAAAGAGAGTGGGGAGTTCCCCGGCTGAGGAAGAATTGCTGTGGGTCAGTTTCTGTTTTAAAGGTTATTGGTAACACATTCTCCTCAGTAGCTTCCGTATTTCTCAAGTTATCAATTTTTTAAAATCTGGCTAATTTGTGTGTGGTAGGCCTTTTAATAAATTAAACTTTTTATTTCAAGGTAATTGTAGATTAATATGCAATTGCAAGAAATGATAGCAGGATGCCATATGCCCCTTACCCCTTTGCCACTAATGGGGACATCTTGCAATACTGTATAGACTGACATCACAGCCAGCACGTTGACGCTGACACAGCCGAGCTACAGGGCATCTCCATCACCGTGAGGACCCCTCGTGTTTCTTTGGTAGCAGAGCCCATTTCCCTCTTGCTGCCCTCGCCCCTCTCCTACTAATCTGTTCTCCATTTCTGTAATTTTCAAGAATGTTATATAAACGGAACTGTACAGTGCATACCCTTTGGGATTGGGTTTTCCACTCAGCATAACTCACCTTCATTGTAACATGTGTCTGTAGTTCATTTCTCCTTACGTGTGAGTAGTGTTTCTTACGTGGGCATACCACACTTTTACTCACCCATTGAAGAACATCTGAGTTGTTTCTGACTTCTGACTATTAGGAATAAAGCTGCTGTGCATATCCACGTGCAGGTTTCTGTGTGAACGTAAGTTTTCAATGTCTCTGTGATAAATGTCCGTGAGTGTCCTTGCTAGGTAATATGGTTTTTACGTATTCCGTTTTTTAAGAAACTGCTAGCTGCTCTCCGGACTACCTACAGGGTTTTACATTTCCACCAGCAATGTAGGAGCAGTGCAGTTTCTCAGCATCCTTGCCAGCATTTGCTGGTGTCACTATTTTTTATTTTGGCCATCCCGATAAGTTTGTACTGAAAGCTCATTGTGGTTTTACTGATTTCTGAATCGCTGTTGTGTTAAATGTCTTTACATGTGTTTATTTGCCATCTGCACATCCTCTTCGCTGCAGGTCTCTTCAACTATTTTGCCCATTTTCCAATTCAGTAGGTTTTTTACTGTTGAGTTTTGAAAATTCTTTATGTATTCTAGATACTAGTTCTTTATCAAGAGGTTAATTTGCAAAGGTTTTCAAATTTTTCCTCCTAGTCTTGAGCTTTGGTTTGTTTGTGTTGTTTTTGTTTTTGTTTTTTTTCCATCTTTTTAACAGGTTCTCTCTCACAATGAAAGTTTTTAATTTTTTAAAAAGATTTTATTTATATTTATTTATTTTTAGACAGAGGGGAAGGAGAAAGAGAGGGAGAGAAACATCAGTGTGTGGTTGCCTCTCGCACACCCCCTACTGGGGACCTGGCCCACAACCCAGGCATGTGCCCTGACTGGGAATTGAACCAGTAACCCTTTGATTCGCAGACCAGCATTCAATCCACTGAGCCACACCAGCCAGGGCAAATTTTTATACAGTCTAATTTATCAATTTCTCCTTTTATGGATTATAATTTTGACACCAGATATAAAAGTTTTCTATCTAACCATAGATCTCTAAGGTGTTCTCCCGGTTTCTCCCCCCCCTCCAAAAAAGCTATACTTTGGTGTCTTACATTTGAGTCTGTGATCTACTTTGAGTTAATTTTTATTTAAGGTTATTTTTAGGTTAAGTTTCTCTTTTTCCCTCTTTTGCATATGGAAGTCCAGTGAGTCTAGGACCCTTTATTGAAAAGATTCTTCCGCCACTGAATTGCTTTTGTGTCTTTGTAAACAATCAGTTATGCATTTTTATGTGGGTCTGCTTCTGAGTTCCCTCCTCTGTTCCACTGATCGGTGTGTTTACCCCTCCAGAGACCACACAGTCTGGTGTAGCTTAGGTAATACATCTTGAAATCAAATACACTGATTCCTCCTACTTTACTACTCTTTTTAAAAATTGCTTTAGCTATTCTAGTTCCTTTGCCTTTACACATACACTTTAGATGATTGTCTATATCTCCAAAAAAAAAAGTCTCACATGAAGAGTATCTCTCAGCTTGCTAGATGGGATGCTGCCTGATTCGTGAATCGCTTAATAAAGCCAATTAGATGTTCCAAAAAATTTTTAACTTGGGTTTTGATAATTGTTTCAAATCTACAAATCAATTTGGAAAAGCCAAAATTTTTACTGTGTTGCATCTACCTAACTGTAAATATAATGTCTCCATTTATTTAGCTCTTTAATTTCTCTTCATTAGTATTTTATAGTTTTCCACAAACAAGTCTTATACATATTTTGTTAGATTTACGTGTATGTTTTCCAGGGGTTTTAGTGATTGTAAATAGAATATTTCTAATTTCAGGCTCCACAAGTTCAAAGTTGATGTATAGAATTACAGTTGATTTTTACGTTTATCTTAAATCCTGTGGCATTGTCAAACTCATTTATTAGTTCGAGGAGTTTTTGTACATTCCTTGGGATTTTCTAAGTAACAAGTATATCCTCTGCAAATAGGGACAACTTTATTTTTTCTTGTCCTGTCTGAGTGCCTTTTAGTTCCTTTCCTGCTTCTTCCGGTGCTGTGTTGAATAGTGAGAGCAGACATCCTTGGGAAAAAGAGTCTGAGCATTAGGTGTACTGTCAGGTATAATGTTAATCTGTGTGTCATGGGCTTTGATAAATGGTGTCTGGCTGTGGGAAGGAGCTGTCTCCTGCTTTGATGAACCAGCTCCTCTAGAGTCAGTTCTGCTGTAGATGGATTTGGGTTTGCTAGGGCTCCATGAGGAATGAAGATCTTAGAACCTGCAGTCACCTTCTAGCTAGGTGGCCTGGACTGTGTTCCTCACACTCACAGCTCTCCAAGCGCACCCCGCTTCCTCATCCCCACAGTGTCATGGATGTGCATTCACTGTCTCCTAGCCACTGCGGGGGCTGGAAAACTGCCCCAAACTTACATTCGCCCTGCCCTGCTGGGGCCCCACCCAGCACCTTAATTCATCTCTCTGGAGATTTGCATTTGAAATCCTAAACTAAAAGGCTAAATGACCCGGGGCTCTTTGCTGTCTGGAGGGCAGACTGCCTGCGTTCCTTGCCTGAGTCCTCCACTTAAACCGTCTGCGCGGACTTGGGCCAAGGGAGCCATCCCTGAAACCCGCCGCAGCGCCTCCTCCGCGACATGGGAGGCAGCCAGCTACGCTGAGGGCTTTGTGAAGACTGAATGAGTGAACCGAGGGAACGTGTTTAGCAGTGCCTGGCATGTTACCTGTGATCGTTACTATTGGTGACTATAAGGACACACACTTGTTTATGAATCATCTTTCTTAAAAAAAATTGTTTGCTTTGCAGATTTTTTAAAAAATGGATTTGGCCAACCATGGACTTATTCTCCTGCAGCAGTTAAACGCTCAGCGCGAGTTTGGTTTCCTGTGTGACTGCACGGTTGCCATCGGCGATGTGTACTTCAAGGCACACAAATCAGTTCTTGCGTCATTCTCCAATTACTTTAAGATGTTGTTTGTCCATCAGACCAGGTAACTAACGTGGGTGTGATAATCTGACGACTGCAGGCTCCGCACTTCCGGGGCCCTCTGTCCCGCTGACGGGCCTCACTCCCTGTCCCTGGGCTCCCGGGCTCCCCGTTTCCTCACGACCTCACTTGTGCCCTCTCACTCTTGGTTACTCATCCTTCCAGCAGCACTTAGGAATGATGGGCCTTGGGGCCCCAAGCAGCGCCCCCAGGGACCCTCACCAGCGTCACCTACACGGCCCGCATCCCAGATCAAGTCCATCAGGAAGCCAGCTGCAGCCAGACCCCATTAATCTCTTCCTTTCCCCAATCCAGCCCCACCCTGCCCCACCCAGAACCCCCCCACCCCACTTCCAGTATTTAGCCTTGTCTCCTCCTCTAATGAGAAGACTGACCGCGTTGATTCCCCCAATCTTCTTTTCTCTTAAAAATGACTCAATCTCAGTATCTTGACTTGGCTTTTTCTTCCCATCTCTCTTGTCTTGGAGAAAAGGGCCCCTCAGTGTTTAAGGAAAAGAATCTTCCTCCTGCACCTTAAGGGCCCAGATTCCACCCCTCAGTTTCCATTGTGATTTTATACTTTGAAGCCCCTGCCCCCCCCCCCCAGCCTGAAGAGGCGGCGCTCCCTTACACGGCTGTCCACCTGAGTTACGGCTGTCCACCTGAGTTACGAGCTGCGGGGCTGCTCCCCTCCGTCTGACTACGGAAATGCATCAGGGTGGTCTCAGCCCACACTTCCTACCGTGGGCGCTGCGGGCGCTGCCCGAAATCCGTCCGCAGAGGTCACCTCTGCCTCAGAACCACTGTTCTGCTCTCAGCCTCTGTGGGCCTTGCCCTCTGCAGCCCTTGCTGCTGGTTTCGTCCTTCTTAAGGATCAGTGTCTGCATTTGATCGCTCTGCGCGTCCCACGCTCTCTGCCCCCGGTGAGTGTTGGTGGGCGCCGCTCTGGACTGTGCACGCTCTCTTGATGGGTGTGCACCGTTTCCGGTCTGGCCTCTGCTGGAAACCGGTTTACAGCTCTGACCTTGATCTTTGTGCTCCTCCCAAGGCCCCAGGCCGCCTGCCAGAAGATTACAGTGTACTTCCTCCTTTATCTCATTCAGAAACTGAATTACGTCATGCCTGAGGTTCCTCCTAGCTTCCCCAAATTTTTACCTTTGAAAAACTCAAACTCTCCTTAAATTCCGTCTTGTCTGTTCCCAAATCAGGTTTTCTTCAAAATACCTTTCATATAATCCTTTCCTTCCCCTTTTCATTTCCATTTCCTAATCATTTCCACATTACGGTCAGATTAATATTCCCAAACATTGCTTTGATTGTAGTGTCCCTTTGATCAGACACCTACTAGACTGTGCCATTCCTGTAATCGGAAACCTAGAGTGCGCCCATTGCTTATCAAAATACTGTACAGGTTTCCTTATTTCGCCTTTCAAAGCCCCACAGGCTTGAAAGCCTGCCCCCTTCTGGCCTGAGCTCCACCCCACACCTGACCCACACTTTGCTGGTATTCTGCCTGCCCACTAAGTCCCAATTCGCCTCTCCATGACCCCTGCCCAAACCGAAAGGATCAAAAGCTATCTCTTTCTCTCTCACCTTTCCTAGCCCTTTATGCCATTTGTAAGACCGATCCATTTTCCTTTTGTTGGTGTTACCTGTGTGCTTTCCTCCCCTCCTCATTTGTATGATTCTTGAGGGCAGACATTAGGTTGTACAAATCTTTGAACTCCATAGTGTGTAGTTCAGGTATTTGTACCTGATAGCCACTTGATATGCTTTATCCTGTGGCCCTAAGGTCGCCCCCCGCCCCCTTTTACCTCATGCTCAGATACTTCATGCTCCTGAGACTTCATAGCTGATGTATGCTTGGAAGCCCCAACACACTGAATTAAACCTGCCTTGGAGAAGATTTTAATGTTGAGGAGTAAAAGAACACAGTGACTTCTAAATAGGTGCAGGGAACTTATCTTAAGTGTCGGCAGCAAGTAAAGGACTTTCCAACCAGGGAGTGTGACATCCCAGGAGATGGTAGTCCCAAGTCTGAACTACAGCGTGTTACCGCACTAGAGATGGCACATGCCATTTGGGCTGCCGCCCAGTGGCCTTGCCCCCTCACTGGGACAAAGCAAATACTGGGTGAAGACCAGAGACATGCTTTTAAACCAGTACCTTTTTTGGAGGCCACTAAGAATTGCCGCCTGGCTACTTGAGAGAGAGGGTGAGAAGATCCTCTTTTCACACTTATCTTTGCTCTGAGTGTTTGGTCTGTAGTTACCACTAGGTGTCTCTGTGCCCCGTATGCTTTTCTAAGGGCTGCAGACTTGCAGCTCTCAAAAATAAAACTAAGATATAGGCCTTGCTAAGTACAGCCTCTCACGGTGGCTTACATTTGAACATCTTTATTTTCAAAGTTCTTTAAGCCCATCTTAAGATGCTAGTGAAGGAAAAACTGAAATTGTAAATTACCGTGGAGGTGTGTATGAAGGGACTTGTAGCTGTGCTAGAGCTGTTTTTCCTGCAGAAAGGAGCTCTGTCAGGCAGACATCTGCAGATCAAGCCACTTGGGTATAATTGTATGTGGAGAGCTATGTTCTTCCTGGAGGACTTGGAAGGGACTGAGTGGCCCATAGCGAGCTGAATGATTCAGAAAGGAGGTCAACTGCCTGGAAGTGAAAGCAGTCAAGGATGGAGATGGCTAGAAGCAGACACAAGGAACTTCTTAAAACAACTTTTTTACATGTTCATGTGCGTGTATGTGCTTCTGCTTTAAGGGGGAAAAAAAGTATAGTGAAGAAATGGAGATAAATTGGTGCCTGGAAACCACCCTGGGCCCTGGCAGTTACCCCTAGGGACCCTGTCTTCCTCTCCCTGGAGGTCTCTCACCAGCTCTCCGGGGCTCCTGGGAACCCTTGTCTTTCCAGGCCTGGCTGAAGTGTGGACTGGGGCCTCCCCAGCCCCATCTTTCCTTTGCCATCAGGGAATACACAGTGTTCTTGAAACTTGGAGATGTGCTCTGTCCAGGCACACCGGTTCACAGGCTGTAGACAAAGGACAGCCTGCACAATAACAAGTGAGAGGAAATGACAAAACTTACGACAAAGTTCTTATGTAAAGGGGCTCCGCTTGGTGCCCCGCAGGGATGCTGATGAACATAGTCCCAGTTTTGGATTTCGGTCTTTTCCGTTTCTTCCCTTGGGGGGGCAGAAGGGCTCACTAACTCCAGCTCTTCCTTCTGCCTGGAGGAACAGTTCATCCTGGCAGAACACAAGGTGCCCTGTCATCCCCTGGGGATGCTTTGCATCCCTAAAGGCCTGCGGTTTCCCAGTTCACCGGGCCTCTGCCTGGCACTGGGAAGATCCCTTCTGGTTATGTCTTCACTTTGGGGCTGATTACATTGTTAGTGTATTCTTCACCACATGTAATCTCTGAAGCTTATCCTGAACATGGAACTTCCCCAGAGCACCAGAACGTGTTACAGTATATACATAAAATACTGTGGGTGCTCACCTCGTAATTAATGGGAAGAACACCTGTATCTGCATTCCTCTTTCAGGGAATATAAATATATAAAGGACTATAAAAAGAGTCCAAATGAGAATGTGAATGATCTCCATGTCTTTCTTTCTTGAATAGAGCCATGCTAAGTCTTCCCCTCTATTCTGTCAAAGGATGCCAGTTTTTATGCTTGTCCTTTATTCTTCGGCTGTCGCAGTTTGTAGTCGCATATTTTTCACATAATTGTTTGTATGCATTTATCAAAATATATTAGTATAGTAATACAGTAATTATTCAAATCTTTAAATTCCAATTAGTTACTTTTTTCCCTTTTTCAATAGCATAAAACATTAAATTTAGAAGAGCTGAGTATACTGTTAATATTTTAGCATATGGAAACTGTTAATATGATAACACAGGTAAAGCAGACAAAAATAGTTACAATAGTAAGAAGTAGTATAATAACAAATGATTATTTGTTAATCATTTGGTCAAGGTGGTGGCATAAGTAAATGCAGTACTCAGATCCTCCCACGGCCACATTAGATTTATAACTACAGAATGGCCATCATTCAGAACTATCTGAAATCCAGCTGAACAAAAGTCCTACAACTAAAGATATAAAGAAGAAGTCACATCCAGACTAGTGGGAGGGGTGGAGATTCAACACCCGCTGGACCCAGACCCCACGCGTGGCACATAAAACTCAGGATGGGTTACCTCAGTAGTGGAGGTCCCCCTTGAGGGGTCCCAGGCCCCAGAGTCCAGGGTTTCAGTGTCAGGAAGAAAAGTCTCATAACTTCTGGTTGTAAAAACCAGTGGGGATTGTGGCTGATGGAGACCAAGAGCTGGAGTCCCTCAGGTGTTCTTAGAGGGCGCTCCAATGGACTTGTACACAGACTCACTCAGTTAGACTCACTCCCTCTGAGCCGGCACTGGGACAACCGCTCAAAAGGTGCCAGGGACATTCAGGGAGGAACCAAATTGTCTGGCATCAATGTGACAGCTGGGGGGTCAGCTTTCTCCCAGACAGAAGTGCTGGCAGAGGCCGTTGCTCCTTTTCTGAGACCATATCTGGTAGGTACCATATCTGAGTCTCCATCAACCTGGCTATCACTGTTAGCCCCGCCATAGTGATTCACTACCCAATGTGTGGGCCCAACGCAAACTATTCCCATTGGCTTTTCCATGCAAATGGTCTGTCTTGGCGCATGCTTCAGACTTCCCTAAAACCTCACCAAAAAAAGGAGCATCTGGCCTCTGCGTGCCCCATACCTCTCAATAAGTGGCCCCAGGCCCAGCACTAGTACAGCTGGCCTTGATTTGCAGTTTAGCCTCTCCCGGGTACCTCCAAAGCCAGCTCAAATAGCAGCCATCTGCAGGTTGCTTTGTAGCTCATGCCAGGAGGCCCTGGGCAGAACACAGGCAGTGGCTGACCCTCACTTGGGGCCTGCACAGGTAGGAGGCCCCAGAGCCAGCACACCACCTGGACAGACTCAGCAGGCACCCGAGTCCCACTGAAGTAAGTTCTGCTCCGTGGGGTGGGACCCTGAACAGCTGATCCTCCACGGTGGTCCCTGCCGATCTTTGCAGTCAATCGGCCTGGGAGGAAATCCCTTGCATAGATGTGCCAAAAGCATTCGAGTTTCAGCTAGGCCAGAAAATGTTCACAGCCCATGTGGTGGGAGTAGAGGAGGAGCACACCTGGAATGCCTAGCTCAGGTGAACAGGAGGCTGCGCCCTTGGACCCCACAGGACACCTCCTACATGAGGCCACTCCACCCAGCCTGGGAGACACAGCAGCTCTGCCCAACACATAGAAACAGACACAGGGAAGCAATCCAAATGAGACTAGAGAAACAGGTCACAAGTGAAAAACAAGAGAAACACTAAATGAACCGGAGGCAAGCAAATGAACAGATAGAGAGTTCAAAGCAGTAGTTATAAGGATGCGCAGTGAACTTAGTGAGAATTGCAGCAGCATGAAAAAGGACACAGAAACCATAAAAAAAAAGGGTTAGAAATGAGGATACACTAACTGCAATGAAGAATGCTTTACAGGGAATCAACAGTAGAGAAGATGAAGCTGAGAATTGATTCAGTGATTTGAAGTATAAGGAAGCAAAAAAAAAAAACACCCAACCATAACAGCAAAAAGGAAAAGAAAAAGAATCCAAAAACTGAGGATAGCATAAGGAGCCTCTGGGATGACTAGAAGGGTACCAACATTTGCATCGTTGTGGGTGCTAGGAGGAGAGCAAGAAACTGAAAACCTATTTGAAAAAAATGACAGAAAACTTCCCTACCCTGTGAAGGAAATAGACATTTAAGTCCCAAACTAGATGAACCCAAAGAGGCCCCCACCAAGACACATCATAATTAAAATGCAAAAAGGTGAAGACAAAGAATCTTAAAAGCAGCAAGAGAAATGCAGTTAGTTACCTACAAGGGAGCTCCCATAAGACTGTCAGTTGATTTCTCAACAGAAACTTTATAGGCCAGAAGGGGTCGGCAAGAAATACTCAAAGTGACAAAAAGCAAGGACCTACAACCAAGATCACTTTATGCAGAAAAGCTATCATTTAGAATGGAAGGACAGATTAAGAGCTTCCCAGACAAGAAAAAGCTAAAGGAGTTCATCACCACCAAACCAAAATTATATGAAATGTTAAAGGGTCTTCTTTAAGTAGGAGAAAAAAGATCAAAACCATAAACAGTAAAATGGCAGTAAATACATAAGTATCAACAATGGAATCTAAAAAACAACAAATGAACAAGCAGAACAGAAACAGACTCATAGATACAGAGAACATTTTGACGGTTGCTAGGTGGGAGAGGTTTAGGGGGAGTAAAAAATGTGAGCGGGTTAAGAAGTACAAATTAGTTGTTACAGAATGGTCATAAGGATGAAAAGTACGGCACAGGGAATATAGTCACATTCTAATTACTACGTATGGTGTCAGATGAATACAAGATGTATCGGGATGATCACTTAGTAAGTTATCTAATGTCTAATCACTGAGGTGTACATCTGAAACAAATATACTGTTGAATGTCCACTATACATGAAAAATGATTTAAAATAAAAATATTCAAAAATTAATTTTCACAAGTTTTGAAAAAATGATAAAATCTGAAGACATTTAAAGAAGGAGTCTTTGGAGTTGAAAATGCATTGTCTATACAGTATATTCAGGAAGTGGGTGCTAGCACAGGCCCCATAATATGCAGAGCTATATCTCGCTGGTAGCTAATGATGCAGTGAAGCTTCCATCATTGCTGATGGCCCGGGAAGAGCTCTTAGGAACCTCTTTGCCTACCGCTGCTTGAATCAGTATGCCTTGTCTGGAATGACGCAGACGCTGAAGTCTAAGAGTTAGAAAATCAGCAGTATCACAACTGCTTCCGAATGCAGTCCAGCAGCGCTGGGAAGGTGATCCGACTGCACTAGGGCTGGAACGCAGCTGGCCCTCTGTTCGCACCCCTGCAGCGCCCGCCGCCATGGTGGACGTAGGTCAGAGAACACAACAGACTTAGGCTTATTTTTCTCTCACTTTTGTTGTCTTGCTCTTAGGCACTTGTGCATACTAGTCTGGCTCCCCAGGTTGTTGTACAAATGAAGAAACTTTCTAATCAGGTAGATTGTTTGACTCCCCTTAAAAGATCTCGTTACTGAGCTCTGGATGGCATTGGGGTCAATAAAGAATCGTAGGCTTTTAGCCAAAAGATGTGCCAGGTCAGTGGCTCCTAACCATCCCTGACTCGCAGGCCTCCCAGACTGATAGAAAGCGAGGGGTCCTCTCCATAAAACACAAACTTGATACAGTTTTACATAAATTGCTAGGTGAAAAACTGCTTCAAGAGTGTATGGGTTAGAATAGCACATCTGTTTCACATGAACCTCTCTTAGTCCTGTAAAATACATTTACAGTATTTCTCTCTGTTCCTAATATAGTTAACGTTAAATTATATAGATTCCTGTTGTCTTCTTGAGTATCCCACTCCATTTCATTCAACTTTCAGTAAGAATCGGGAAGTGTCCTTGTTTCATTTGCCTTTTTTTAAAAGTGCCTGTTTTGTTTTTCTTCAGGCTCAATGTTATCATTTGAGACCGGGATTGGCATTGACTGACAGACTTTTTACTTGTTTCTTGCAGTGAATGTGTCCGTTTGAAACCAACTGACATACAGCCTGACATTTTCAGCTATCTCTTACACTTGATGTACACTGGGAAGATGGCCCCTCAGCTGATTGATCCTGTGCGACTGGAACAGGGGATCAAGTTTCTCCACGCTTACCCTCTGATCCAGGAGGCTAGCCTGGCTAGCCAAGGAGCCTTCTCCCACCCTGACCAAGTTTTCCCGCTGGCTTCTTCCTTGTACGGCATCCAGATTGCAGACCATCAGCTGAGACAAGCCACCAAGATCGCCTCGGCCCCTGAGAAACTCGGGCGAGAGCCCCGGCCCCAGACCTCCAGGATGAGCCAGGAGCAGGCGCCCGAGGCCGCACAGCTGTCTCAGCTGGCTTCAAATCTGACCCAGGTGAACCGGACACATATGACTCCCTCGGACCCCCTGCAGACCTCCCTGTCTCCAGAACTCGTTTCCACTCCTGTCCCTGCCCCTGCTGCCGGGGAGGAGGCCAATCTGGAAGCCTCTTCCTCCGACGAGCAGCCCGCGACCCTCACCATAGCCCACGTCAAGCCGAGCATCATGAAGAGGAATGGCAGCTTCCCAAAGTACTACGCCTGCCACCTGTGCGGGCGGCGCTTCACCCTCCGGAGCAGTCTGCGGGAACACCTGCAGATTCACACCGGCGTGCCCTTCACGGCCAGCCAGCCCGGAGAAGGCCGCGTGCCCCTGTCCCTCTGCAGCAACGCGGCCGACCTCGGGAAGGACGCCATGGAAGTGCCTGAGGCTGGCATGATCAGCGACAGTGAGCTGCAGCACATCTCGGACTCCCCCATCATCGACGGGCAGCAGCACTCGGAGACGCCGCCGCCCTCGGACATCGCGGACATCGACAACTTGGAGCAGGCGGACCAGGAGAGGGAGGTCAAGAGGCGCAAGTACGAGTGCACGATATGCGGGCGCAAGTTCATCCAAAAGAGCCACTGGCGGGAGCACATGTACATACACACGGGGAAGCCTTTCAAGTGCAGCACGTGCGACAAGAGCTTTTGCAGGGCCAACCAGGCCGCCCGGCACGTGTGCCTCAACCAGAGCATCGACACGTACACCATGGTGGACAAACAGACCCTGGAGCTCTGCACGTTCGAGGAAGGGAGTCAGATGGACAACATGTTGGTGCAGACTAACAAGCCCTACAAATGCAACCTGTGTGACAAAACGTTCTCGACTCCCAACGAGGTGGTCAAACACTCGTGCCAGAACCAGAACTCGGACGTCTTTGCCCTGGACGAGGGACGCTCCATCCTCCTGGGCGGCGGGGACTCCGAAGTAACGGAGCCCGACCACCCCGTGTTAGCGTCCATTAAAAAGGAACAGGAAACAGTGTTGTTGGACTGAGCGTCGCTTACCTTTTTAAAACTGTCGTTTTTACGGAGACTCTCTTCCTTCCCTTTCCCTATGCAGAACTGTAATTCTATGGCATGATACAGACAGGTCCCTGGCCCCTCCCCCCTCAAGGCTGTGTGCATTATAAACCTGGAACATTTCCTTTGATTCAGGGGATATCAGAAAGGAGATAGTCAGTAGTCCTTTCCAACTCCAATGGATTTTGAGTTTTAGATTATTTAAAAACATAACTTGGAAGTAATGAAGGGTATAACACAAAACAACCGGAATGCAATTTGGTAAGCTAAAATTATGACCTTCCCTGGGTAGTGTCTTCCTTCTCAGAGGAGCAATGTCAGAAAACGCAGCATGCTTCTTCGAGACACAGCTGGGCTCTGTACTATGCAAAATCTCGGTGTGGCAAACCCTAAACCCCAGAGGACGTTCTCAGCATTCATCCTCCAGGTGTCTTATGTCAGAATGCATCCTTTGAGATTATGTCCAGTCAAGGAAAATCATTAGTTAGGAAACTTACTTGAACAAAACACGGAGAAAAAGTAATAATGTGATGGCAATCTTAATTTTTGGGTAAAACATGACAAGCTGTGAGTTTGTGTGTTTGTAAGAGAAAATGTGTGGATACTTACTATAAACAGGTGAATTAATGCACATGCCTTATCTAATTGCTGGCTTCTTTCAAAGGTGAACAACAAGATACTGTATTTTCATTTTCGACAAACGTGTTGGTTTTAAAAATCAGATTTGAAAGTGCTGTTCAATAGACGGTTTTTCTGAATAGAATTGACATGCCATTCTCGCAGTTGCCAGCGGTAAATTTGTTTTAGCCCCAACCTGCTGCTTTTAAATCAGTGTGTCTGCCACAGGAAGGAGGATACAGATCGTAGAGGGGAAGTTGTGAGCAGGACCTGTGGTAGCTTTAATGGTTTTAAAAATTAATGCTCATAGTTTACTGGCAACATCCATTGAAACATCAAAAAATGGCAAAGAGAAATCAGGACCAAAAAACAATTGCATTTGGGGGGGAAAAAAACGGGACTGTGATATTTAGTCCAATTTTTTTTGGTAACACCTGCAATTTCCTCTATTGGCCTGAAGCAGTAAAATCGTCCCTGTAGTCTTCCCTTAGGCCAGTGACAGACCGGTCTCCCGGGACAAAACAGAAGCCAGAAACGCGGACCGAAGGGGAGAGGGAAGAACGGTTACTAGCTGTGCTGTACGTGTATGTTAAACTGACTGTCCCGTCACCCCATCTCATGTATAGTTGAGTTCTCAGATTTGTAAGTTTTTATACATGCCTTCATTGAATAAACATTTAATTAAATGGGTATATGATTTGTATCCATGCATTACTCTGTCAACCCAAAACGACGCGAGGAGGGGAAGTGGAGAGAGAGCATGGCCCGTGGAGCCACTCCCTTGCCCTGCCTCCTCTCCTGGCTGCAGAACTTGGGTGGTCTCCTGACCTGAATGGCGTTCTCCATGTTTTGAACGGAAGACGTTGATAACTGCGTCGGGTCGTGACACGGCGTGACTGCAACGCATGAGCTCTATGGGGAGATGCTGGGAAGAGCCCAAGTGTGAGCAGGCACAGGTCTGGAGGTGGTGTCACCCAGCTTTCTTTTACAGGGAAGGAGAAGAGGCCAAGGGGTGTTTGCCCAAAGATGACACAAACTCCTGCTACATAAACCTAGATTATTCAGTATTGAGTGGTTTCAACTGTGTTCTCACTAGAAACAAAACCCAAAAAACCTATATTCACATCTCCCAACTCAGATGCAAGTCTTGTGCCAAGGTGCTTCTCTGAATGTCTGTGAGAGGGGACATCGGGGCCCGCCTCCACAGCCCTCCTCACCACCTCCCAGGCTGCCTTGCAGGGATGAGGGATGCAGCCAAGGGGCAGGGGCTTGAAGAGTAGAAAGCGGTGGGGACCACAAGAGATCTGGTGGGGGGGGGGGTGCAGGGCAAGATGCTGGCCTGCCCCCACGCAGCCCCAGCAACTCAGTCAAGCGGAGGGACAAGCATTGTGTCCAGCTACTCGTTGTGTGTGGGGTGCAGGGGCCTCAGCACCAGCCTTCAGACACTGTGTACCGCAAAACGCCAGCTCCTCCCAAAAGAGCGGGGTACAGAGAAGGAAGCCCACCCAGCCTTCCCTGGGATGCTTTGTGCCTATTTAATTAATCCAAGAGGTTGCACATTTTCAATTCGTTCTGAGTTTCTGATGCTCCCAGTTTAAACAAGCTTCAGAAGTTTCAGTTGACGGTATGAGCGAACACCTGAGTTTTGGAGCTGTCATTCTTGTCCTAGCCTTCACTAATGCCTCCGGTTCTACTGCTTTTCCTTCCGCAGGGGAAACCATGGCCGGTGACGCACTCACTCAGCAAGTATAGCTAAAACGTCGATTCCATCAAGTACCGGAGAGATGTGTTGTACCGTAGAATTTTCCAGTAACACTGGTAAATAAGGCAGCTCCGGATAGCGACACAAGAAGGTACAGTGGACACACCTCGTGAAAGCCATAGGGACTGGACACCGTTGTGTTTTGCTATTTCCCCTTCTAAGAAAGGGAAAGAGCAGAGGCATTCAGAACGATCACTTCGGTTCCAAATGTCAGGCTGTGGTCGCACAGTTCAGGTGAGACTCCCAATTGCTGTGTTGAAAAGCTGCAGGCACTTGGAAGGGTGGGCGGGAGCAGAGTGTGTTTGTGCGGCCGCACCTCCTGCAGTCTGGCTGGGGTGTGATGGGGCGGTGGAGCTCTGTCTTCAGGGGTTCCCTGGGGATGAATTCAAAGTTTTTTTTGCATGGGCAGTGTAATGGATTGTCACTTGTTCTCCAGGTGGACTGCGTTTTCATGGCAATTCTCAGGGCCCTCAAAATACCTCAGGTGCATTTTGCTTTGTTTCAGTCCTCCAGTTCAGTCTACGACAAATTATTGGCAGTTAAACAAAATTCAGGCATACAGATTTTAAGCGAATAAAAAGTTCATGATCTTACGAAACATCAAGTAGTCTGCCTTCTCTAAAACTTGCTCCTTCAAGTCAACCGGAGTGTCAACTAAACTATTAACAGCTCTAAATGAAATAAAAATTAGACTGAGAATCTTTAGTGCAAAAAATATATATATATATGGACCAGGATGCAATGCTATTGTGTCATTTCATTCTCCTCGGGAAAGATCAAAATAGTTTTGAACATGAAAAGTTGCCCTGGCCGGTATAGCTCATTTGGCTGGAGCATCATCCCATAAACCAAAAGGTTGTGGGTTCAATTCCCAGTCCAGGCACATGACTAGGTCTGGCCACTCATCAGGGTGCGTACAAGAGGCAGCCAACTGATGTATCTCTCCTTCTCTCTCTTCCTCCCTTCCCCTCTCTAAAAAAAATTGCCCAGCCTGTCCTTGGGTGAAGAGAAAAACAAAAAGCTGGCTATTACATTCTTGAATGGAGCTTTTGCTATTCTCTGGAAAATGCATAATGCCTGCCCTGCCCAAACTCCCTGGTGGTTGTGAAGATCACTCCTTGGAAAGAATTCATTGTCAGCTGGAGGGCTGAAGTGGGGAGCAAGTGAGGTCCTGTGCTGTGTGTCTGTGTGAGGGGTGCTGACGCTGACTCCTCCCAACAGTCCTGTCAGACATGCCTTATCACCCATGTCCCCCATGGTTATCACCCATGGGAAACTGAGGTCCAGAGAGGTTAAGCAATTTTTCTGAGGTTACCCAGCCAGTGCTCCCATGGATTCAAATGCAGTGCAGCCAGAATTCAAACTCCCATGTGGCACAAACGATACTTTCCCAAATGTACAAACCTTTCTGTGGGGGTGGAAACAGGTGGGTCATGGGGTGGGCGGCGGGGAGGTCAGGAAGAGGAAAGCTTTTTCCAACTGTTAACTTCTTTGTTCCATTATTGAGGCAATGAACGTAAATCCGTGTTACAGTCTGATATCACCACAGTGGTCCTAAAACATCAGCACGTTGGAATCCCCTGGAGGTCTTGATAGAACAGATCCTGCCCCCAGAAGGTCTAATTCAGTCAGTCCAGGGTGGGCCTAAGAATTTGCATTTTTGAACGGGTTCCCAGATGATGATGATGCCAATAGCCACATTTTGAGGACCACAGCGTCACTATGTAATTTTTGCTCTAGTATTACTGTCCTTTTTTGGTTCTACTTTTCTCCGAATTATAATAACCAGGGGCTATCAGTGAGCCATTCTTAGCCAGCTCCTTGACTTGAGGCAAGCTGTGCCTCAGTGAGGAGCACACTGTGCAGCTGGGTGCCGTCTAAACAGCCCTGGCGTCCATCCTGGACACCTCCCCGTTCTCATTCCAAATGCCCTTGCTAACCGGCGAGCACAGAAAAGTCACCCAATACCCTACAGTTTTTTTTTTCCTTTTTTTCCCATTCCACCCCTGGCTCCTTACATAGTTTTTGAGACCACCTTGGTGGGCCTCCTTACCATGAGAGAAGAAGGGTCAGGATGAAGAGACAGAATGGTGTTAGACCATCGGCCAAGGTCATAGGATGACTTAGTGGTAAGTACAGAGCCCAGGTCTTCTCCCATCCAGGACCCTTTCTGCTCCCAGCACCCTGCCTCAGAAATCCTTCTTAGCTGTTGTTTAATTTTTTTTTTGTTAGCAAAAAATGGATACAGAATTATCAATGGGGACAACTGTAATTGAGCAATAAAAAATTGAAAAAGGATTCTTTTATTTTTTCGGTTAGAGATGCTCCTTAGCGGACAAAGGACAGAAGGCAGCCAGCCAGAAAGAACCGGGCGCCTGAGCGACACGCAGTCCGAGAAGCCTCGGAGCCTCAGGAGGGACCTGGAGGAGAGCAGGTGGGCCCCTCCCGACCGGCCCCCTCCTCACATGGCCCCCCTTCCAGTGTTTCAGGGGGAGGGGCCAGCAAGCCACAGGTACCGGAAAGGCACCAGGGAGAGGGGAGAACAAAGAAATGCAGGTGGAACAAAGTGGGTGTTTCCTCGCTAACAAAGAGCATTGATAAAATGTTAGGAAGATGAATGCCATTATTCTGATTCCACCAAAATGTTCAGGGACACAACAGTCCTCGGCAGCTACAACGTTGCTTCTGGTGGACATTATTCAAGTTTCTCCTCTTCCACTTACTAACATTAACGCATGACAGTGCATTTTGCTTTCCAGTTTGTAAAGCACTATCACAACAGGAAAAATCTTGTGAAGTACTTGGTTACACATTCTATTTTTTTTTAAGATTTTATTTGTTTATTTTTAGACAGAGGGAAAGGGAGGAAGAGAGGGAGAGAAAGCTCAATGTGTGGTTGCCTCTTGCGTGCCCCCTACCAGGGACCTGGCCTGCAACCCAGGCATGTGCCCTGACTGGGAATTGAACTTGTGATCCTTTGGTTTGCAGGCTAGCACTCAATCCACTGAGCCACACCAGCCAGGGCTCTATTTTTTCTTTAAGCTTTTATTCATTTCTAGAGAGAGGGGAAGGGAGAAAGGGAGGGAAACATCAATCAACCAGGGAGCTGGCCCACAACCCAGGCATGTGCCCTGATTGGGAATCAAACCAGCAACCTTTTGGTTCATAGAACAACGTTCAACCTACACCAGCCACGCCAGCCAGGGCTGGTTACCCATTCTGCAATGAAACTGCTGGGACAGGGTAAGTGAACTCGAAAGCCTTGTCTTTCCTAACCACCAGAGTCTGTGCGTGAGATTATAAGCAATGTTGTGAGGATCTGGCGCGGGTTCTTTTTCCCTGGGCGTCTCCAGGACGGAGGCGGAACAGAAGAGCCACTGATGTCTGTCTGTCCTGAACTCCTCTATTTGTCAGACCCACCTATCCAGCTGCCCATTCCGCATTTATCCTTAGAGACCTTGTCTCTCAGATGGAATGTTTCCAAAACTAATATTATCTCACCACCTCCACCCATGTCAGACATGACCCCACATCTAGGTCGGCAATCCAGAAACTTCCGCCTTCACCCCACACTGTTCCCAGGACAGATGATCAGGTCTCGTGTCCTGTGGATTACGCCTCCCACTGTCTCTCGATCGCACCCACATCTCTGCAGACAGACTGCCGCTACTTTAATCCAGGCCTTTATCAGCTCCTGTCTGGATTATATGATAACACGTTAGCTAGTTTCCTCCCACCTCCGGCCTTTAATTCTCCGAAAGCTGGAAGAAAATCTCTCTCTCGCTACATTGGCATTTAAGATCGAAAACCCTTTCTTAAAAAAGGCCGTCCTGGGCCTTGCAGGGTCACAAGTATCTAACCTCCACTCATTCATTTCCGGTGACAACTTGTGTTACCGAACAGCAAATGGGGGTCCTGCTGCCTGCCG